CTTATGTCAGCAACTTACGTTGATTGAACAGCGTTTAACGATGTGTTATTTTTGCATGTTTTTATAGCTACAATTCTTGATGCAAATACAAACGTAACGTTCGAAGTATTAGTACTACTGACGCTGTCGCTCTGTGCCTTTGTTACATATAGCACGTAATAATTAACAACCATATTGGTTTCTTGTAAAACCTCGACCTACTTTTCTGCCGAACACCGAGTATGTACCTCCTTTGTATACTCTGCCATCGAGTATATATTTCTTTAATCTTTTTTTAGTACAATATCGTTCTCTCCCCGGTTCAAAGATTATTCAAACATCATATATACATATTCGCGTGTTTATTGTATACAAAATGGTTCTATTATTCAGAATATCCACTTCATAAAATGAAAGAATAATACTTATTAAATATTGTTATTATATAAACTGTGTGTTACGGCAGCTGTTATATTTTATCATATGCGCCAGATAGCAGTTGCTTAGTAGGCATTAAGCTTAATGAATATTTGAGGACTCGGCTTATGAAATGATAGGCGGTATAATGAGCCAGGAGACCCGCAATTCACCATAATTAATGTTTAACGATATAGTAATCTCATTAGTAATGAAGATAGTAGATTCCCGGATGGAATCACTATTGAAATATCACGGTCCCGTATTCCGTGTTTTTTGTCGTAAAGAACAATGTGACACGACGAGAGTTTTCACGGTGGAAATATGGAAATTGAGGGCGCGGCCTCGTCGCACGATGGCGCCGAGCAAATTGAACAATAATCCGCAGACTCGGCGGCCGCTGGGTCAGCTGTAATCGTTGGGGTAAGTGTCGCGCTAAGTGGAACGTGGTCATAGCAAAATAATGGTGATTGTTAGAGAAAAGTCACAAGTTCTCTGTCCATATATACAACACACACACACACACAAATCAGGAAACTGATATGTCTCGCAAGGTTTCTTAAATGCGGGTGGTTGAAAAGTTGCCCTTCCCTTACTTTTTTAATAATTTAAATGTACTTGATGTTTATTGCGTGAGTTCGACGTTAAATTTTAACACCAAAGTCGGAACGAATTTATTTCACCGAAGTGGCGTACGTAATGCCGATCAGCAGTAATCATGTACATTAGCATTACGATATTAAATACGACATTTCATTAGAGCTTTAAAATAAATATTAAAAGATTTAAGTATTAAAGTATTAAAAGGTTTATTCAGTAGAATGACAATTTCAGAAAGTTCAATAGTTGATTAAAATGTATGCGACCATCTCGACTTAAGTACTTTGCAAACGCAAACATTCTCCCTCTCAGAAGTATACATATGTTCAGACTGAACTGCTTTCGAAATGTTATTCCTCAAGTAAGCGCAGCATAGATATAGGTCGACCTGATCGATGTGCTCGCGATCGCAACCTCATAATTGCCGTCGTAAATCTTCCGTCATAATCTGCTCCTTTGTCTCGTAAAGAGGAAAAAAGGGAAGAGAAAATATTCCTGCCACAATTGAGAATTAGACCGTCGTCGAGGGGAATTTCTGTTGGACCTAGAAAAGGGTAAGAATCTCGAAAAAGATAAAATATATAGACAATGAAAATTATTAGCTTGCAGATCATACAGCATGTTGTGTTAAATTGTACAATAGTTCATCGTGGATTGCCGGTAATTGTTACAACTCGAATCACTGGAACGCAATTCCACCAGCCATAAAGTGATGATTGTATGTACTTCCGAAGTGACACGTATACATGTGCGGCCTCCGTGAAGCGTGATGTAGGTCAATATCACTATCACACTTTTCTTTTACTTTTAATCGGAAAGTAATTTTGCGCAATGCGCTTAATCGTAATGATTTTTTAACGAGAGTCAGAATTTTAACAAAGCTAATTTCATTAAAAACTTGTATATGTAATTATCCTCGTGTGCAGAATACGCTCGTGTCGCGATTTCAATGTATAAATGTTCACGTGTAGAAAAGTTATACATTCCCTTCAAATATTGTCATTATTATCATATCTTTTATTATTATTTAATTACTTAAAATGATTAACTAAGAAAGATGAAATAAATAATTGGCGTACACATTTAGAATGTATAATCAATTTTTATTAGCAGTGATTAGTATATTCATTTCTTTCACTTTGCATTTTATTTGTATGCTTTAAGTTGAATGTGGAAAAATGAATATATTCTGTATTCTCTCGGCTTACGCGCGCAGGGCGCTAAGCGAGTTTAAAGATGGCACATTAATTTTAGCATACACTTTTTATGCACATATGTTTAACTACAAAGATTCAGAAGACACGATTTTAATTCATTCAAATGGATTTTACTTAGTCATTTACGTGTTAATTAAATTATAAAGTATTCGCTTGAAGTTTTTATTGCATTTTCATAGAACGAATTATATACATAATATGTATATAATCATAATTCTCGATTAATTACCAATTTTGAAAGAAGGATATTTTGGTATTTAGCGAAGAATGCGGTTAAGAAATTTTATTGGTTTTTCTTAGTCTTCGTTGTCTTTTCTTCGTATTTTTCACACTGATGACCATATCGATCTCACGAAGAGTTTCCAATCCAGCCGTTCATTTTACTCGAGATTATCCTCGAGATCGAGACACTTAAAGAATTCCACGAATTAATCAGAGAGAATTATCACTTTGAAACTTTTGCATTACACATAATAATACTTCTTTTTGTTTGCCGATGGCGACAGTGAAAGCCAAATGATTATTTACTTAAACAGGCCCGCTCTACAAAAGAAAATGCAAGTATCGAACTTTATCATTTCTAACATTTGTCTCTTTATTACGCTTTTTCGTAATGCTGTCTCTATTCGCAGTTCTTAAGGGCACGTTGTATTGTAACTCGTCGTAATTTACCGCTACTGAAATATGCTTTGATGTTTCTGAATTAAATTGTGTTAAACTAGTTTGTCTCTGCTCAAGTTATTTTAGATTACATTCTCGTAAAATGTCATTCCACGAATTACCCCAACAATCGGTATCGCCACAACTTTGGTGTTTCCTAATTAAATATATTAGATCGTTCAATCTTGTCGCTGCAGCACTGCTGGCAAATGGCAGAAAGCTCGATGGTGAATGAGCGCCATTATAATACATACCGAGGAGGAGAATTTAATGCAGCTTGACTTCTCACAAAAGACAACAAACCGCTTATCGCTCTATTCTCATGGGCATTCCGTTAATTACAAAGCGTTTGCAATCATCTTTATGAATATTAGCTAAGTTTCGTTGAGATTAATATCGCATTATCGTACTCCTTACGTCGGGATGATTCGTAAACTATTTTTTACGTGTAGCAATTTAATAATCTTTGAAATAAATCTTTCTTCAAGTATATTTTTTCAAGTACTTAAAATGTAGAGAATTAATTTTCCTATTGTTTAAAGGCTAAGCAATTAACGTTGTTAATATTTATAATATACGTATTAGAAACTTGAAGGAGTATTTCATAATTGAAAAGATAATGGAAGTACGTCAGAAACAATAATTTTATTGTAATATAATTTAACGCAGGTCTACAAGTCAAAAATGAATATTGGAATTGACAATGAAAATAGCGAGTTTGTACAATATGATTACGTATAGTCGAAACAAATGTCAAATGTCAAGTATTAATTTGTAATCCTACGTCCTTTGTGTCGTTTAACATGAGTGATATCACTTTCTATTCTAATAATGTGACAATCGCTGTTTACTACCTTTAAACCTCTTTTTCAATGTCCTCAAGTGACAGTAACTTGTTTTGAAGCTATTACGCGTTCACGTCCGCGTGAAATTCATCTTCCAAGGCAAGTGCTTTAATTAAATGTCAATTCGATGTTTTTCGCATCATTTGACATCGGTCAACATTGCTTTACGTCCCAGGCTTTAATTGAAGACGCGTTTCAAATCAAGCGTGTGTCACTTTTTCTTTTTTGAAAAAAAACATTTGCTTTTGTTAAATTTTATACGTACTATGCATGTCACACCGCTTTCCCACTCGTGATAAATGCTACTTTCGGTTTTTCCTTCATGCGGAAAACACCAAATCTCAAAACGAATTACAGTGGTCTGCCTGTGACAGCACCACGGTGCTTACGCGACAAATATTTTTATGTAACATACAAACTGCGCGAACACATACGTACACATCCACGCAACGCGTCTATGTTCAAGAGTACGTGCAAATAAAACGAAGTCGTGCGAGTTAGATGATAAAAGAATCGAACCCCAAAAGCTATTGCAATTGCAATCATGATATTGATAGCTTTAGATTCCATCAGTACTATTTATTTTAATCACTCTAAGATTAGCACTTTTAGTTAAAAGCAAATATGCGAAAAATGCATGCTCCTGAAGAAATATTTAATCATCGACAATTTTAAAGATGGGAAGCTAAGATTTCTTCTTTTTTCCTTCTTAATAAACATCGACTGATTAAACGCACGCTCCTTAAAAGATATGGTTTGACGAAAATACTGTAAGATCAAGATCGACCACTGTGCATTTAACGAATTTAAACATTAAAGATGAAACAAGTTTATCGAATTATTACATTATTAATTTATTGTCACATTATTCAAAGCATCAACAGCAATACATAACATACGATTTTATCAACACGAAAAATTACTCATTATATAAGCTTGCAACGTACAGCCGTGTCGTAAAAAAAGAATGACACTTAAAAAAGTATGTAATCGAAGGAGTCGGTCACAAAATCTTTTATTTTCTCTGAGTCATCATTATAATCTTCATCATTATAATCTAGTTTGGAACTTTCGATATATGTGTGAGTTATAATTTGTGACTGGCTTCTACGACTTTATATATTTTTTCGGTGTCATATTTTGTCTGTGTATCAATCAATGTTCAAGCTTTCGTAAGCACCGCATTACTGTTGAACTGTTTGTTAGTATTATCACGAGCTAGCTAAAAAACATTAACTGATTGTCGTTATTGTGATTGTAACTGAATGTTTCTTGCTTGCAGCACCAGAGCGCCGCCCAGGCATTGGTGAGTCGCATGTCTCTTTCTTTTCTTTCTTCTGTCTTTATGCACTTTTTATGTATTTATACATCTTTACATTTCTATCGCCATTCCTTTATTGAAATTGCCAATAATCTTTCTCGTGATATGTTACAATTGAGATAGGTAATTACATTTTGTAGATACTAATTTTTATTGTATAAATATAACAAATGTGTGTTGATTATTTTTTATTAATCCACGAGAAGAGATTGAATGAAATTAACATAAATGATATTCTTATTAAATCATAATCAGAGCTGCATCATAATATATATATGTAAAAAATTACACTTACTACCTTTTTATTCGTGATACGTGTGTCTCTGTATAATATAATTTTTTTTTATTCTACACGTTACAACAGAATACATAGACTCAATTCAGTTTAAATTGTATGAGTAACAACTTAAAACAAAACAATTTTAAATAAAATATTACACAAATATTTAATATAATTAATATAACATATTTAATATATTTAATATAATTAAACGATATAAATAGTATAATAATTAAAATACTTATAGATTTTAATTACATAGTATTTTCTTTTATAAAAACAACATTACATTATTTATATTGAATATTATATTGCAAAAAGAATAATATTCTCTGATGAAGTAAGGTAAGTTGGATCAAGAAACCAGAAAGTTAAAACCTTAAACTTTGAAAGCACAACGATTTTTACGCTCGTATACTAACTTTTAACAAATTCTATCAAGATCGAGTTTTCTAAACTCACTTCAGTTTCTCTCTAATCCCTTCGGAAATATCTTAAATATATGAAATCTAATTTACATTAATAACTTCCGCGAGCCCATAATTTATTTTACAACATGCTTAAATTTTAAATTTTTTGGTATGTACAGTATTATCTACATTTAATTATTCATCAAAACAAAGCACTTTCTTTTCTTTCTCTCTTTATGACTAAATTCTTCACAAATATGACGAACAAGAGTAAATAAAATTGATTGTAAAATTCATGATGTTTAATTAAGATAAAACTATATACATAATTATATTGATACATACGATTACGTACCTACGCTTAATCAATACAATGTTTAACTGAATCACATCGATCCGGAGATCGCGGTACTGCACAAAAATAACTCATCACTGTATTTCAATGAACAATCAGCGAGATTGTTTCGCGTGGTCGATGAAAGCTCGTGCTGGTTGGTCCGATACGAGGCGGAGGCGGAACGATGGTCGGATGCATGTGAATATAAATCTATCTACAGCTTCGATGACCTCGTCTCGCTTTGATAAATCTTCGACGATATCGGTGCCGATTTTCCGAAGCATCTCCGAATTGCGATTCAGAAATGCATCAACCACAAGAGACGCTTATTCTTACGTGTCACGATGATTCGTTGAACACCATAGGATGCAACAGCTCTTCGTTGTTCGTTGTAGTACGAAATAATTTACTCCTGATGGACGGCGCGGAAAATCCAATCGCTCGGATAATTGAATTGTCGGACCGATCGGAGGGAATCTTCTGCAACCTTTCGCAAGATCGAGCTTCACTCTTTTTTTTTGCTGCGCGCATCATCATCCGAACAGCTCCGACCAGCCGTTTCTTAAAACGAGACTTCCGCAAGAGAATTTCCGCCTGACGAATCTCGATATATACCAAACAAACGTCGTTTGAGATACGAAGTCGTTTTCCTTGAATTTCTTGAAAATTCTTTCTTTAAATTTTATTTCACATTTAGGCTCGAGTTTTTAAAATGACATCACAATTAAGTTTATTTATTATATATAGAAGCTTGTTTAGCAAATCTGAGTCCAGCTAGTTTAGATCGAAAGATAGCATTGGAAGTCGTTAAACAATAATGTCCAGGAATTGAATCGTTACGAAATGCGCAACAATTGGAAAGAAACTTTGTTATGTTTCACATTGATAAAAATCGATCGCATTTGCTAAACTCAAATCTTTATGAAGTATAAAAACATCGTGTGAAATAACGTAACAACTACAATGTAATGCGAAAGTTTGCGGTATTATATATTAAAAAAGTGAGTGATAATACGAAACGTAGAGGATAAGATTTGTCGAAGATTCGTCATTTATTATTCTCTTTATCATTATCTAGAATCCTATTCAGGAAAGCGTGTGCGAAACGATTTTGTACGGAAGCACAAACTAGGTCGGAAGTATTGTAAAAGTTGTGTAATTGCGATTCTCTTATCGACTCGACTGGAATAACCGATTCGATGTGAGAGGCTCCGGCGAAACTCTCCAGTTAGTTTTGCACGCTAGAGCAGCCATAGAGTTGTCGTAAACTTCTTCCAATCTGAGGTTTGTAAGTGGCTTTTTCCAATTGAAATAGCACCTACTAGTTACAATGATGTGACATGTATCACCACGCCCATTAATTTTGCATCGTGATCGAGTATTTTGCCATAGTTGAACGTTGAAAAGCACTGCAAATTCTTAACACCTGCTTTCATAGAATACCGTGCGTTCTACAGCATGATATCCTGAATGTATTATACTTCTCTCTTTTCTTTTTGAATTTTTTAATCGAAGTGTAGATACATCATATGGCATATTTTAAAAGTTCATCAATTTTTGAGAAGATACGTGAAATCAAATCGAAAATCGATTCGATTTGACTTTGACTTTTTCACAGTGATCTTCTCATTATACTTAGTTGCGAAAAAGTTCATAGAAAACTTATATCATCGTGACATTAGCATATTTTTAAAATTTATTAAAGGTGATAACATTTATTTTTAAGGTGATTGATGAGATAAATATAATATCGCGTAATTTTATGTGTGTGTCATTTGTCTTTAAAAGAAAAAAAAAGACATACAGCCATGGCCATAAGAACATCCTCAATTTATTGCATTTTCTTGAAAAATTCGATAGAAAAGTGTAGGGATGAAAGTAATATAAATATTTAATATGATAAATGCAACATTGTCAGTATATCTAAAACAAATGTATAAATTCAAACATGTTCTAGCCAGTGTATTGAGAACTATTTGAATTCTAGATAAACTTGCAATGTTACTGTCCATGATGACATTCATCCCTAATAAAAGTCAAAGAAAAAAAAATCTAACAAATATCAAATAAGATTATTATAAAAATAAATACTATTTTTCAATAAAACTGTTTTTTATTTTTCGTTAGATATAAAAGATATATATTATGTCAATTTGTGGAGGTGCTTCACGTTTATATGATTAAGGCTGTACATCTAGAATTTGTTTTTAATATATATATATATGTAATAAGTACTGTACAGTTATCATGAGGATCATCTTGGCAGTTATCTTGAGGATCAATTTATTTATTAACAAGTAATAATAACAAGTAATAATAAGTAATTTTATTTATTAAAAATTTTTTATATTATTATCTTCACAAGGACAGAAAATATAACACTTTATTTCAGAGTTTATGCCAATATATAATATATTGAACATATTTATTTTTGAAACATTTACTGATTACAAATAAAAGTTGTGCAAACTTTAATTTATTTTAGGGCTTTGAACAAATATTGCATTGTGTGCATATATACATATCTTAATTCTCAATAGATATTTTAATTATAACAATATATTTACGCAACAACTACATAATATAAGGAAATAAAAAACAAAATCAGTTGGATAGCGAAAAATTAATATTAGCTAAATTTATGAAAATAATAACAGAAAAATGATTGGCATTTATTAGCTGAGAACTTATTCCATAATCAATAAAAATGCATCTATCATAAATATTATACATATTTATAATAATTTTATAAATTATGTTATAAATTTTATATTAGAAATATATATATTGATTACCACGGTGTATACAATTACTAACAGTGTAATATTTTCTTCTCTATTTTTTCACGGATTTTTTATCCGAAAATATTGAATGTAGCGTTATGAAAACGTCGTGTGGATCATGCGAATATCGTAATTTATTCGATCACAAAGCGCAACGACAATAACACCATTCACTACTCTAAACGTCGAATTTAATGTCCTGAACCTATTTAATTAAAATTTAAAAGACCCTTCTATGCATTTTAATTGCACATGTAAATTACGTTACCGCGCGCACACATCGTCTGTCAATATATTTCACCTACGCGCATATGTATATTATTATTTCAAAAATATGTTGCCATACACTTACTTCTTTATAGATTTAATGTTATTCGTAGTAATTCAAATTAAATTACACAGTAATTTATCGTGTAGTAACTATATTTTTCAATGATTGTTGAGTACTCTCATACTTATATATCCTTATCGGATAACAAGAACAAAGATTGGTGACTCGTAGAAAATGTTCTTAATCAAATAAAAGGTAATTCACTCGTTCACGTTGAGCATACAAATGAATACTTCAGCTTTGCTGTCTAAGCTAACTTAAAATTAAAGGGCTAACGTAAAGCTTAATATGCAAACAGCCTTATTATTCTGTCATATGCAATTTTATTAATCGTTTATCTTCTGACTCTCTCTCTTTCTCTTCCTTCCTTTCTCTTGCTTTGTTGAATATTTTTATTTTAACATTCTTCTACAGTTACCTTTTATCCTAACTGTGTGAAGCACACACAAGTAGGTTAATAATAAAACTTAACTTAACGACTCTTACGCTTGTGTATCTAAACTATGTGCAACAATAAAAATAGAATTTATTGCGATACTTATAACTTTGCTTTTAGGGGTATTGTCGCCAATGACATTTTAGATTTAAATGACGCTTAAAGTATACTATGACGCAGAATGGAATTTTATATTACAATTCTGTGGTATAAGATATTGACTATAATGTCATACACGTGTAATATAGTGATACTTATATATTTTTGTCGCTTATTGATGTGTGTGAAGTATTTAAGAAGAAAATACTTTTAATACAACTTTTAAGAACTTCAAGACTATTCCTACAAAATATTTCTTATTCCTGGTCATTGATCATTACATTAAATCAGTATAATATAATGTTGCAC